CGATTTACCTGTGGGGAAAACTACCGGAAGAACACGGAGATGCTTTTAAGGTGGTCCGTTGGCTGGCTCACCGCCATGGTGTGGTGGTGATCCCGGGTGGCGCAAGTGGTTGCCCTGGACACATCCGGGTTACGTTTGGAGGGTTGAAGGAAGAAGAAATGAGAGCCGCCGCGGAAAGGCTGAGGAAAGGATTAGAGGAGCTGATTCTCCATGGAATGGTGGAGTGAAATGTTGCTAAAAGATTGTTACTTTGCGTTATAGCTTTTAAAAAAATAAAAGAGTGTTTTGTTTATTCAATAGCTGATTGATTCTTCTTTCTTTACAAAGTCGCTGTAATTGAGAAACTAATGGTCGGTCTATCAGCCTGTTCCCTTTGGTGTATGTATGTATATACGCTTTACTTGTTCAAATAAATACAATTTCGATTTGTATAACCAAATCCAAAAGCAATGAAGCTTTATTCGTTACAAATCTTTGTTAGAATTCAAAAAAAAATTCGTGTTTGAGCTGATAAATTTTGATAGACGTTATGACAAATTTATAAGCAAACCTTTAATTTGAAATTTTGATTTATGAACAAGGAGAATAAAGTTTTGATAATCGATGATTTATTAGCTTTATTGGGTATAAAGTGGGCCGTAAATGGGCCCGGATCTAAATTTGAATTTAAACCCGAATAAAGAAGAGACTGGATCATAACTACCAATGACGTGTCTTCCATCTTCTTCCATTTTGTCTTTCATCGTTCCCAACTTCGCCGACGAGTCGCATCTCGGAAATCTGGAGAAGGAGAGAGAGTAAAAAGTAAGGAAATTTGGGGGGGTTCAGAGATCGAAGCTCTTGCTTCGGAACCTAGATTTTGTATATCGAAATCGGCGATTGAAGTAGAAGAGAAATGGTGGGTAGTAGTAATTCGTTGGCGGGTCTACAAGATCACTTGAAATTAGCGAGAGAATACGCATTAGAAGGATCCTATGATACTTCTGTCATCTTCTTCGATGGTGCCATTGCTCAGATCAACAAGTAAGTAGTAGCTTCTTTGTCTCTTGAATCTAGATTTTAGCACCCCTCTCGCTGGCAAATTTCTTCAAGCCCTAACTAGTTTGATTTTTTTTTTTCATGTTCGAGGGTCTATTTTCCCATCATTTCCTCCTAAATTAAGCTATGATTTGTCCAATGTTTCACTGTAATGGGTCGAGATAGAAGAACACTATTTATGTGAAGTTTCTATCTTTATTAGTGGGTTCTGAAGCTATACTGTTTTTAGGCATTTAAACACTCTTGATGATCCTATGACGAGGACGAAATGGATGAATGTTAAGAAAGCTATAATGGAAGAGACGGAAGTTGTAAAGCAATTGGATGCAGAGAGGAGAGCATTTAAAGAAGCTCCTACTGGTCGTCGTGCTGCTTCTCCGCCTATCAATACCAAATCTTCGTTTGTTTTTCAGCCCTTGGATGAGTATCCAACTTCATCCAGTGGTGGTCCTATGGATGATCCTGATGTGTGGAGGCCTCCTACACGCGATGTTTCTAGTAGAAGACCCGCGAGAGCTGGTCAAAGTGGTATGAGAAAATCACCTCAAGATGGTGCTTGGGCTCGTGGCTCGACAACACGGGCAGCTCCAGCTTCCCGAGGTGGAAGAGGTGGGGCTGCTAGTAAGTCCACTGCAGGTGCCCGTTCTTCCACTGCCGGAAAGAAAGGAGCCTCTTCCAAATCTACCAAGGGAGGAGAGTCAACAGTAAGTTATAAATTTCTGTCTTTTGGTTGCTGCTCAACTGCATATAGAGAGGTTAACTTGAAAATCTTCCATGAGTGACATGTAGGCTATGGCATTTCCATTTCGTTTAGTCTGCTTATCACTTTGATTTGGTGATAGACAAAACGTGATTCTAAGTGTTATGCATTTGTAGGAGTGATATATCAACGATCATGAATTATGTTGCTCTTGTGACTGTCTGTTGCTGTTTTCCATATTTAGAGACTTTAGATTGGTATTCTGTTTTCCTATGGTGATGCTGAGTCAGTAGTTCCCTCATATTGCTAGCAACTAATAAAACTTGTGGCTTCCTCGTTGATATCAGAATGGCGATGCTGAAGATGGGAAGTCAAAAAGGGGACTGTATGAGGGACCTGATGAGGACCTGGCTGCTATGCTTGAAAGGGATGTGTTGGACTCAACTCCTGGTGTTCGTTGGGATGA